TAAACCCAAACCTCCAAATCCTAGACCCAAAACCCTAAGCCCCTAAACCCGAAGTCCTATAAACCCAAACCTCCAAATCCTAGACCCAAAACCCTAAGCCCCTAAAACCCGAAGCCCCGATTTTCGGGGACGCGGGCCTGCTGTGGCCTGCGATCTGCGCCTGCGACAGGTGGCACCCCCAGGGCCTCACGTCCGAGGAACAAGCGGATATGGATCTGGAGATATAGAGATATAGAGATATAGATGATACAGATCTAGAGATATATAGATTTTGAGATATAGTTATGTAGAGATAAAGAGATATAGCTAGAAATATAGAGATATAGATGCTATAGATATATATGGCTTCAACCAGAGGCAAAGCTCGGGAATCCAGGCTTAGGGGTTTCGGGATTCGGGCTTTGGGCCTCGGTGCGCCAATGTCGGAAAAAGACCAATAGAAAAAAGGAATGAGCGTCTTAACGGCTAAGGCTTCACGGCTCTACTTACTCATGGAGCATTGCTTCGAGAACCTGCTTTGGACAGACGTGCTTTCTCCGGCAGATACTACCACCACTGCACTGGTCGTACCGTCTACTAGGATTCTGCATCCACTTGTTTTCGAAGCAGTTGCTGAGAGGAGCACAAACCGCCCCTCGAGCTGCATCTGCAAATTCGGTGTGACCTGCTGGTTGCAGAAGGAGGCAGAAGAGTCACGTTGTCATGCAATACAGATATCTGCTTAAATCGAAACAACCTTATTAATAGCCAGAATCAATGATGGAGATCGGAGTAGAATCTCTGTACAGAGTCTGGTTACAGGTTGCTCAAGAGCCTGTCCTCAACAAAACCTGATGCATACAGCATGCCCACACTGCGGTAGGCTTCGGAAGATCCTGCCCCAAGCCTTTTCCTCAGACCACCCCTTGCAACTGTTGTCACTGAAGCTTCCATCGTCATGCCTGAAGAACCGTAGGCGGCTCTACTTGCCACCTGGGGAAAGACCCGCACTTGCGTTTTGGTACGAGGAGTTGGTCGCTCAGGGGTGTCATTTGAGGGAGTCCCCAAATTGCCCGAACTGCGACTGCACGATGTCTCGCAGGCATGAGACTTTGACAGTTGACATTCCAGTGCTGAGATCACGCGGACCACAGAGGCAAAGAGATGCACCTCTCCGGAATGACCGATGAAGTCTGTGCAGGCTGAGGGCCGTACGGAGGCACGTGATCGAAGCTCACATGCACCTGGATTCCGTGTGAAGGAAAAACTCGGAGTTACAACAGCGTTTGCGTCAATGCAGCAGATGAATGGGCTCCCGGCACACCTGCCGGGCTGCGGCCCTGAATAGTCTGGATGTTGAGTTTGAGGCTTTGTCTTGGGCTTGCCAGGAATCTGTAGAATCCTCGCTACCCGGCTACGCAGAGAAATCAGTGGAGGAGAACGAAAGCTTTCGCTTTACACTTTCTTGCCTTTCGAAGAACACTGCAGCCTACAAAGCATCAGGGCCTTCGCTACTTCGGGAATCCTGAAATCCTGAAATCTACCAATTCTTCCAGACTCCACCAGGGCTGCACTCGAGCCTCGCTCCCTTGCCGGATCTTCTTCGCCGAAGTAGGCCGACACCTCAGCAGAGTACCCCAGGGACTCGGACGAATCCCGGAATCCCAAAGTCCCCGCCTCGTCCTGAACGAAGAACCCCAACTCTCCGTCGAGGGCACCGAACAAGGAGAAGATGCCTCCCGGGTTAAGCATCTGCGGATCTCCTTCATAGGACGAGGCTTGCCGGCCCATTCAAAAGCCCAGCATGCAAGCTTTGTCCATGTCGGCCTGCATCCGGTATGTCCTGAAAGGCTGACTTGGAAGGCGCAGGCTTCTCGAGCACAACTCACGTCTGAAGACGAGCAAGAGAGAGCTAGCGAGAGAGAGACCCGACATGAATACCGTATAGATATAGAGAGGGAGGGGGAGGGAGGGAGAGAGAGAGAGAGAGAGCGGGGCGTCTGTACATCTGTATGCACATCTAAAGAAGATAAGAAGACGGGAGAGCTGGCCGAGAGAACACAAGAGCGAAGCTCCTGCGTCTGCGGTCGAAGGAGTCTGCACCTGCCAGGACGCTTGGGGGCTTAGGGCTGGCGGCTCTCAACCGGAGAAGAGGACTCCTCTCAATCTTCCTTCTAGGCCCGTCAGGCCAAACCCTGAATCCGAGATTCTGCGCGCTGACCAACACCCATGGTTTAAGGTCACATCGTGTACAGCATGCCACATGCAAGATACTTCAAGATACATGACAAAGGTCTGACGAATGCCACGTTGGACTCGAATCTACCAGCTGGGGCTCCGACTGTCCGTCCAGGCTGGAACAGTGGTTCCCCAAATCTTCGAGGGCAGCCTGTGTCTGATGAAAGACGGTTTCGGGTTTAGGGCCCAAAGGCCCGAGCGTCGGAAGCACGACCATCAAATCAAAGAGATGCTTCAACGCTGTGAGATGGTGAGTTTTTGAAGCGAAGCCGCAGTTCTTTCTCTAAGACTCTAAGAAAGCAGCAACCCTTGCGAAGACGGACAAACAAGGCATTGTAGACACTTGGTTGGAGGCATGCAGCCTCCGGTATGTAAATCTCCTCTTGGAAGCGACGCACACCTCTGCAGTTCGGAGTGAGCTTCTGATCTGAAGTACGTTGACGTGCCAACAATCAGCATCACACACAAAGCAATCCTCGATGTGAGCATTGACCCTTCAGGCGGTACTAGCAGAATGCCAAACCTCGAACGAAATCGGAAGAAAGCTCGAACAGATGGAATACAAATGCCAGTAGTAGCTGCCCTCAGGCAAAGGAAACGTTGCTCTCTCCCAACACCCACACAAAGCTTGCAGCCTTGAAAAGTCGGGTCTTCTGGAAATGGCGTCAAGGCAGCCTGCGACCGAAAGAAAAACACTATTATATGTGCATGCTGTCATACATGCTTTATGCTTTTATGCACGTATACAATGTGTGTATAGGCATATGCATGTAAGTATACATATGGGTAACTGTCAAGAAAATTGTGGTCATTGTGGGGAACCCTACACAATTCTACGCTTAATGCGGCACTCTGTAGTTTTGGAACCCAAGAGAGACCCTAATCTGGACAACCTTCCATTTTTATGCACGGTCATGTATCTCTCGCTCTCTCTTTCTGTCTCGTCCCTCCATACCAGTGGGCTTGGTTCTACAATCTCCAGACCCCGTCGTTCGGTTGAATCATCTTGTTGAGCACACATGGCTTGGCTACTGCTCTGGAACATAAACAAGTTGTCTTACATCCTGTCGTGCAACACCCATGAAACATGGGTGGGATTGTGCCTGGGTACACGAACTGATTATCCGAGCTTCGTCCATCGAGGTTTCGAGGACTCACATATTTTGCAGATCGACAATATTCGGAAGAACAGCAAGCCCAAGCTTGTGCTCCCATGATCTGCTCAACACGTCAGCCGTCGATGTTGCTGCTGCACAAGAGACGCACAGCTTTCTCTCACTTCGCTTGTGGTCTTCTACATGGACTGGTGGCGGGATCTCTCTTGGAAGAAAATGATATCGACGGCTCAACATGTGCTGTCCACACCTGCCTTGACCACGGTGAAGGCTACAACATGCCACCTGCAACGCAGAACCAACATGCCTGCAAGTCCTGGATAAGACACGCTGAGGGCTGCGAAAACCCGAAAACATGTCTTGAACTCTGATGAAACAACATCCTCTACGAACTTTAAGAATTGACTTCTGCGCCGGTTCGAATTTGACACTGAGCTCTGCATGCCTGTGGCACATGGCCAACACCGACACGGGCTGTCACCACCATGGCAGTTGCTTGGTGGAATTTGTGCTTAACAGCAGCGGCATTTTTAAAGCATTTGCACCAGCGTCAAAACAACAGCCTGCAGATTTGATTACGTTGATAATGCTCTAATGTCAGCAACGACATTGGGTGTGGTTCAACCACAGTCTTGCATCGTTCGATCGAACAGTTGCTAACATATGTTCAAGAACCAAAAAACACTTGGCAAATCGCCTCATATGTTGTAACAATCTTTGTCCTTCGCAAACATGTACAGTTTGTAAAGTACCAAACCGAGTATGTTGCAAAGAAATGAATGTTGCTTGTGTGTGATGTCACCTCCCACCACGCCTTCTACAGACTCCAATAGCGCTTGCGGCCTTTATCTCCAGTGTCCGTGCGATGCTGGTGCACAAACTTTCCAGCTGCTTTGTAGGTCGACTCGAAGATCGTCACCTGCTGGATTTCTACACCGAAACTGACCAGGCGATCGATGCCATGTCGGGCTCCACCCCCAGTGCCGAGCAGCAGTCGCACTTCAACCGAAATCGACGACGCCGTCGCTGGCTTCCTTCAGACCCAGGGCGACGCTCGCTACTTTGTGCGCGCGCTGGGTGCGGAGAGCGGACAAACCTGGTGTAGGAACAGTTCGCACTCCATGGCCGGAACTTGCTCCTAGAGGCGCCGCTAGGGCAAGTAACAAGGCCACTTGTCCATGTGAACGCAAAATCTCAAACAAGTCCAGTTGGGATGCCTGGGTCACAGTGAGCTCTAAGTAACAAAAAAGAGGTGCATATTGCATGGCTCTGTCGCATGGATTGTGAGAAGTAGAGGTTTGGCAAAACGCTTTCCTGCAGTTTTCAACGATTACTTAGCGTTGAGATGTCTGCAAGTGACCTACGATCCACCAGTGCGTGTCTACCTCACTTGTGTGTGTTTGAGAGTGTGCGTGGAACGTGGTATGAGAGCATCCCTCCAAATTTTAGTAGAAACTGAAGCCCGGAATGAGGAGCAGAGAAACTGATCAAAAAGGTAGAGAAGCTCAAGTGACCTTCCCAGTGAGCGAACATGGCAGTAGAAAAACCTGTGATCGTCTAGTTGCACTGGGCATGCTTATGCAGCTCCTAGAAATGTCTCTCTGTGCCGACATCACAGATCATTGAACTCCAACTCATCCTCCGCATCCGACAACTGAATCTCATTTCGAACAACTTTCTCTTGGCTCAAAATACCTAACCCTCCAGGTACCTACTTTTTGGGTACTAGAGCCCCTAGGGCCTTCTTTTTGAGGTACCTGGGTGGACTTTATCTTGACACGACTCAACACCTGAAAATCCAAGTTCAATCCAGATTCAATCCAGGTTTTTGGAACTTACATCGCCCAAAGTTCTGAGTTGGAACTCTTCAAAAAGCATTTTTTCTGTCTGGAGCTGGTTCAAACCCGGATTAAACCCAGATTCGAACTTTTCTTTTCTTCAGATAAACGATTCAAGCTGCTGTATTCGGTAGCAAGAAGTTGAATCTCCAGCGTTTTTACAACGAAATAAATCCTATGGAAGCGATTTTGGCTTTCTTATTGTGTGTAAAAACAAAGGTGCACTTTTTGGAAAAGATGGCTATGCGTGTTGTTTGTGCCAACTGGAGGCGCTGGCGGATGAGAACTGTCGCGGCGCATCCACGAGGTGGCAGGCGCCGAAGATGTACTTTCTGCTCGGACTCCAAGAAGAGGTCGTGCCCAGCAGTTACGACGGCACGCCGCGCCAAGAGCATCGACAATATTACAAAAAAGCCTTTCTGTGGCTTTCTTCTTGTTGTATGTCACGTTGTGTGCGATATTCTTGTGTTTGTTCGAGAAAGTGTTTTGCCTTGTATTTCTTCATTTCTTCCTTCAAAAGCCCTGAAGCGATTGCGTGTGGAACTTCTTCTTGTGTTATCTTGTTTTCTGGCAAAACTTTTCGGCAGGTCTTACGACATTTTCTGTATTGTTTGTTGCTTTCGTTTGGAATCCAAAAGCCTCGTGACAAACATATGACTTTCACAACCAGATCCACGCATTGAGATTCACGATGATGTTACGAGCGTTGACTTCAAAATCACAGAAGACGCACGGAGCGTTGACATTCAAAACTACATTGTATTGACTTTATCCAAAACGACGTTTGCAAACGTCGCGTTTTCCTTCTCGACCTTCTGCGAAAAAATTGGAAAAAAAATCTCCACGAAAGCGACACGCAATCGCTTCAAGTGGCTGTAAGCGTTAAAAACCTAGAAAGCTTT